CAGTTTGGGGACTGGATCTGTTTTTCTTCAGCGTGTACCTGTTATCCCTCAGTCACTATAATTTCCCATTGCTGAGTCTGCTGGCTTTCACCCCACCCGCTTGATTTCTGAAGAGTTTCCGAATGTCTGCATCAGGACTTTGTCTCGCTCTTATCTCTTACTGTCAGGCTTTTGTTTTTGATCATCGCTCCTCTGTTTCCACTCTACTTCTCCTCCTTTCAACCTCATTTCCCCTCCAATTCTTTTGATTGTCTACCCATACTGGTTTGTGTGCGTGTGTGTACCTGTGTGCATTTTTGATGTGTCATGCAGAGTGTCTTTACAGGCATCCCGACAATTTGGTGAGTGAGCTGGTGTGGATGTATGCAACTGTGGTTGTGTGTTTGCTTTGGAATAATCTTTTTGTATTCTTACTTATGATAGATAATAAATGGTTTCCCTCTTTGTGCTCAGACATGATTATCTATGAAAATATGAAGCACAGGGGTTATCAGCTGTTTCAAGGGGGCCAATTTATTAATGGATGGATGGCACATTGTGAGCATCAGGCAAAAAGTGTCCTCATTATAGTTAATGATCTTAAGTAGTACAACACTTGGTGCCTCTATTGTTCACCGTGAAGATTTAGTCCCAGAAAAGCGTTACCATATCTTTAAAGAAACACATCACCGAGCTGATGAAGTGATAGCGAGTGAAGCTTTCTCTTTTGGTAGGAGAAGCGGTGCTCTAACAAGATGAGTTGTGAGAAAACCTTTCCTCAATTATATTTAGGAGTTTTCAGGTCCATTTTTTTTCATTATTAAATGAAGAAGAATTTACTTTGAAAAAATTCCCCCTAAAAACTCACCATGGGAAATGTCAGGGGGGTTTGTGTTTTAGGTCAAATGAAAAATTACTAGTCTGCCAAGGAGATGATTGGTGGTTGTTTGCCAGTTTGTAATCAAGATTATTCAAAACTGCATGAAAATTTTATAAGAGGCGGGGCTGGGATCGACAACAAAGTGATTCCTGGAGTTGATTAATGATTTATTATCTTTACGAGACAGGGCAGCTTATATATTTTCATGTGATGTATATTTTCTCAAATAAATATCATAATTAAATAAGAGAAATTAGAATACACTTTCTTGTATGTCTTCAAGAAAACATCATACTCCTTCTGGACCCAGGGTCTCAATTCATGCATGGTGAGGAGGCATTTTCAGCCTTGACTGTAAGCAGTCAAGACTCAGACTGCTGCAGAAGAAGATGTGTGTAAAAGAACACTTTGGTATTGACTTGGTAAAGGTGGGTTCAATCTACTTTATATACCACAGAGTTAATCAACAATTTTTCAATTTCTTAGTTATATATTCTACAATATAAGTACTCATTTTTAGGCAAGTAAGTGTCCACCTATCCATTTTTTTTTATCTGTTTATCCAATTCAGGGTTGCATGGGGGCAACAACCTGGGAGCCTATCCCAGGGTGAGAGGCAGGGTGCAACTTGAGTGGGTCACCCGTCTATCACAAGGCTAACACATAACAATTCCCACTCACATTTACATCCATGGCCAAGTTAGAAATACCTGTTAACCTAACCACATGCATGTCTTTAGACCGTGGCAGTAGCCAGAGATAACCCACAGAGACATGGGGCGAACACAGAAACTCCACACAGAAAAGCTCCAGACTGGATTTGATCTTTCTCGCTGTGAGATAACAGTTTAATCATCACACTAGTAAATGAAAGAAATTTAAAAACAACTAAACATCCTATCTCGTAGAACTATAAAGCAGCATAAATTGATCATGTAAATACACCTCTGTATAAAAGTCTTGTGCCGCTTGTCATTTCTTTATATTTTGCCAGGAAAATGGTGCATTTATTCAAATGTAGAAATATAAATGAAATACAGTAAATAGTACAAAACAGAGTTTCTACAGTTCTAATGAGCTTGAAAGTCAATATTTAATATGAATACAGCCTGAACTGTCTTAAACAAGCTTTCCCTGAGACTATTTAAAGAAATAAGAAGAAAGTTCTTGAGGCTTCTTTAAGGAGATTCAAAGCTCTTCTTTGGATGCTGGCTGCCTTTTGTTCTGCTCTCTGTCAAGGCGATCCCACACTGATTCAATAATGTTGAGTTCTGGGCTCTGGGGAGGCCAGTCCATGACTGATAGTGGTCCAGTGTTTGGTTTTCTATCCAGTATGTGTTCGGGATCATTGACGTGATGAAAGATGATGTCGATCAGGCACTTTTCAGATGGTATTTCATGGTAGATCACAATCTGACAGTACTTTCTTCAATTTTGACAAGACAAACACCACTGGCTTAAATGCAGCCCAAACCTTAACAGAGTCTCCACCATGTTTTGCAGATGGCTATAGACAGTCACTGCTGTATCTTTCTCCTAACCTCCTCCATACAACAATGATTTAAAACAAAAATTTGGATCCATCACTTCATAGGATGCCACTGATTTTCAATCCAGTTTGTGTTTATTTGGCATCCCTCATCCATTCTCCTTGTTTCACTTTCTTAAGAATGGCTTCTTGACAGCCATCTCGCCACTAAGACCTTTTCTCAAGATATGCCAGGTTTTAAGCTAATAGCTATTTCAAAATCACCTTGTTGGTGCAAAAATACTGTTTATGCCTGTGTTATCCCAGGTATTTTTATATAATCAATTAAAGAAACATGTTAAAGTGTCTAACAGTAAAATGTACGTTTGTTTCTTTGCAAAGTTGTCTGTAGACACAACACAGGTTCACCCTCTGAGTTAGGTGCCTTTTTTAAGCTTGAATGATTCATAGGTGAGTGTAAGTAGCTTAGCAAAGAAGGGTCAGTTACAAAATTGTAAAATGCACGAGAACTATTGTTATTAGAGGCAAAGTAAAGAGAAATGAGGGGTAGCTCAAAAGGTTTGCACAACACTCGATCTGAACTGAACTTCAGCAGCATGCAGTGCTTTTTAAATGTATTTTTCTGTGTTTGAACATTGCTTCATTGTAAAGTTTATTGCAGTCTGATTGTTCAGCATTCTCTGAACAAAAACAGCATAAAAACGATTTTTCTAGCATGCTGACCTCTTTCTCTATGAGTAAGGCCTTACAGAGGTTTTTCTCTAGCATATTTTAAAACAAATATATTTGAAACCATCAAAGGATGTAGTGATACACAAAAAACTGTACAACAATCCGCTATACAGGCTTTTCCTCAACAGTCCACTCTACGATTGGCACTATGTTCACTACCGCTTTTTATCACCCAGAACTATTTAGTGACTCATATTAGGTACAAAGTTGAAGAAAGTGACCAAACTGAAGTGTCAGTCTCTTTTTTGAAAATACAACATTTCAAATCAATTATTAACCACTGCCAAAGCTTAATATTGACTCTGATTCTGTCCAAAATCTCCTCAATACACGTGAGACAACGTGAGGTCAGTGTGTATACAAATAGTCAGTGTAAGCCAAACATTCAGGCTTCAAACTGCTCTAAACACTCAGTTTCAGATCATTTTCTCTACTCTTGGTTCTGTATGATGACAGTGAGAGGCAATATTGCCACAGTGCTCAGAGCCACAGTCCTGGCTATAAAGCACTGGACCCTCATCTACCTGCTGTTCAAACCTATTTGTTTGCAGGGGGCAGCCAGTCAGTGGAAAGCAGTGAGGTGAGGAGCTAAAGCAGCTTCTTTCAGACAGTGGATGAAGCGAGTAGCCGCACAAAGGCTCAGTATAAGGATTAGTTCAACACTATAAATCCAGTAGACTGAAGCTTTACAGAGACTTTTCTTTTCCCCAACAGATGATGGACAGTCGCCTGTCAGCACAGGAGAGGACAATGAGGAACCTTCCTGCAGACAGAGGCTTTCAGAAAACCAGCACCTACATCGTGCCCTGCTTCCTCTTTGTGGAGGTCAGTGTGACTGTTAAGGCACATTTTCTTCAACATTTCAGCGCTTTGGTCCCCTGCTGTGCTCATCAGGCTTAACTCACAACAGGACATTTCAGCTTGATTTGGCCTGAACATCATTTGGAAGCTATAACTGAAAGAAATCTACTGCAATCTAAAGTCTCCGAGGTTTAATGTGTTTTGTGCTGTGGAACAAAATGATGTGCTGTGTAGCAAGCACAGCAGAAAGAAAAAAAATTGTTTTAAATTCAGCTGTGTATTTAGGTCTTGTTGGAAATTTTAGAAACCTCTGTAAGTTGGAGTCACACAGAGCAAACGGATGGAGACATAAAAGCACATTTTACAGACGTCTGCTGGTGGATGTTCTCTTCGCTTTCTATTCCTTCACTCCTGCATCGCTTTCTGCAATCTCTTCCTGTGTTTCTCATGGTGGATGAAGAGCAAAATGTGTCCCTTGGGCAAAAACGCATAAATTGGCTGAACCACTTTTCAATTCAGTGACTCTCGAAGGAAGTGATTGATTTTGATTAACTGTCACAAATGGGTAATTACCCCCTCGTCCATGTGTCCGTTTAGTGATAACGTTCAGCACACGGGTGAAGGGATCTGTCACAAAGACCTTTTCCCTCATATGTTCCTGCTCTTCCCACAACTCTCCTTCTTTCCCTGTAATCCCTAAATGACCCGGTGAAGCTCTCATGGATCAAGCTGCATTTCCTAATTAATTGGCCTGATTAAGAACGGAAACCCAATTAGCCTGTGCTACTGTTAACATGCTCCAAGCCTGAGGATCCTCATAGTTACAGCAGAAATAGCAAAATATGCAAAATTGGCACTTTTTAGCATTAAAATAAGGGTCTTTGCATTTAAATTCAGCCTAGAAATATAATTTCTTACTCTTACATGAGATCAAATGTTAATGTTTAAAGTTGATGAAAGCTGTTTAGTCAAATAGTGCCATAGAGAGCTGACTAGAAATGGAGGTTTTGCAATTGACAATAGTGCCTCCAGTAGGGCCCTGTATCCTAAAAACGATATTCCTAAACAAGTAATGTACATTTTTAAATTGAGGAAAGCATTTTTTTGTGTGTGTGCGTGTGTGTCACCAACATATCTTTGATCTTTGTGTTCTTGCTTTCATAATGTCTCCCCTTTTCAGGAAGCTAACACGAAATCGGGACAGTGTTGGGAAAATCAGGCCCAGACATTGTCCACAGGTTCCCTCTCTCATATGCATCACACAGTAGGCGCTTCGCTGTGTCAGATGTGCTCTCACTACTGGAAATACTCAATTTGGATTTGGCAAGGGGTAGCGCCTGGAGCAAAAGCAAAAGCCGTTTAATGTCTGATCCAACTGATGGGTACTTACGTACAGCTTTTTGTGCCTAAATGTAATCAAAGGGCGAGTGAAAATGAAAGTAAACAGCAAATTAAAACAGACACTAAAGTAAGTGAAATAATGACAGTCCCTTTAAATGAACCCTAGTCTCATGGATTATGTTGCCACCATTCTGCTTATCCGCCCCCTCATGCAGTCTTTATTGATCTTTTAAATTATAAGGTGTTTTGCCGGCGAGAAAATTGGTTTCTCTTGAAACATCACTGAGAAAGCAATTTAGTTATATGGGAACGTGTTTTTATTTGTATTTTTTTGGAGACTGCTTGGCTGTTCAGTCAAGCAAAGAGCTGATGATGTATATGGCCATTTTTCTGATTTACCGACTGAGACAAACTTAAACTATCACTGATGTTGTGAAAAGCTGGTCTCTTTGTGGTATCCATCCATCCATCCTTTTTCTTCCAGTTAGCCAGCTGTCATCGGTTGAGAGGTGGGGTATACCTTAGACAGGTCGCCAGTCTATTTTGGTGCTGTGGATTTGCAGTTTAAAAAAAAATAAGCTGACTCTTTTTTTTCTACACGACCCAACCTCTTCACCTGAATCTCCAAAGGGATTTTCCTCAGCCTTGTGTTTCATCTCTCTATATGTTCAAAAACACAACAACCTCTTGAGATGTGACTATAACTTTTTTTTATCTTCTCTTTGTGCCTCAGCCAACACACGGAGCCTGCACTGTTTCCACACACACACCTCAGTTACCTCTGCATCTCTTTATAGCTCAAATACCTCGCGATCCCTCCGGGTTTACACGCGGCCTTAAGCTTGCTTTTATTTTTCATTCATTTTGCTTTAGCATTCGCTCATTCTCGGGATCCTCTTGAGGACATGTTATAATGATTTTCCACCTTTTTAAAAAATTGTTCATAGTGCGTTTGTAATATCTCTAGGCTTGAATCTGTCACAGGTGCT